AAATAAATTTGAAAAATAAAAAGACAACAAAAAAAAAAAATACATTCCATTTATAAAAATGTCAGGACTGCGTCGACCGCGTTGTTGTTGTTGTTGTTGTTCGAAACAATTTATTTTTATTCTTTTTCTTATCAAAAAAAAAAAAAATAATAAGGAACCGTAAAATAGAATAAAATCTATGTGAACGAAATTATTATACAAGTAAAACGAGTGCATCGTGTCCCAAATTATACAAAAATAATAATAAATTGACTAACAGAAAGATTTTTTTTATGAATTTCTGATTTTCTTTAAAAAGAAAGAAAGGAAAGAAAAATGCATACATAAGATACAAATTAGAAAATAATAAAGATAAATCAAGAGTCGCGTGATTACATTTGTTAGATTTGCAATATCAGATATTGCATAACGATCGAACCGTGTACACGATTGTAATCTCATTTCGATCAGGAGGAAGACATGTTGTATCACGTCAGTATCAACAGAACCCCCTCAACACACAAACGCGTGTTAGACACCCACACCCACACAAATGAATATATATATATATAGGATTATATATGTATATATATACACACGTGCATAGGAATATGTGGATCTATATCAATGCAATGGTGGAACGCGATAGAGAAGGAAGGAAAAGGGGGATGGAAGTGATGGGTTGGTGGGTGGGTTGGGGTGGCAGTCCAGGCGTACATATTTGCCGTGCCAACGCAATGTGTTTTACGTGTACATAGGATGATAGTCCTAATTAATAACTAGATAGCTATTAGAAAGTCAAATCGCGTTAAATTGGCCGAAAATAGGATCGAGTTGAAATATAGATTAGGTGGTGGGTGGTTGGGTGGTTGGTTGTTTGGTTGGTTAGTTTCAAGGGGGAAAGTTAATAATGGGAATGATTTGAATGCAACAAACACGCATAGTTTATACTAACTTATCTCTTGATAAGAAAATCACACAGACACATACATATATAATGAATATTTGATACACGGATATAACGTAACAAGGAAAAAGGGGGTGGTATGGAAAGAAAAAGAAAAGAAAAAGAAATTAATTGAAAATAACAAATGACAAACTAGATTCGCGCCTTTTTTCGTTGGCGGCTGATATATATACATATATAAATAATTCACACATATGAATATATATATATATATAAACAAGTTTTTTGTAGATAATTATTCTTCTTACATCATCTTCCGATAGATAATCTAAACGCATTTTCCAGAACGATTGTACGTATGTATCTTGCGTGAACATTAATTATTATTATTATCATTATCATTATTATATTATTAATATTATTATTATTAATATTATTATTAATATTATTATTACTATATATATATATATCGTGTAAAGATTGACTAACGAAATATAATACATACATGCATAAATATATATGTGAATATTTCGAATCGAAGTTTGTTCGCAACAAAAAACTTCGCACAGGTAGGATTTTACTGGTTTTAAAAAAAAAAAACAGAAAAAAAGAGAAAAAAAAGAAGAAAGAGAAAATTTAAAAAAAGAAAGAAAAATTAAGAGAGAGAGAGAGAGAGAGAGAGAGAGATAGAGAGAGAAGTAAATAATTCGCGCGCACGCAGGACGAATTTACCTGAATAATAAGAATTATTAACCTGAACGCGCGTTTTCTTCGTCGTCGTGTGTGTGTATGTAATATGCGCGTGTGCTTATGCGTGCCTACGTATGAATATGTGTATGTGCGTGTGTGTGTGTGTGATGTATACATAAATACATACATATGTACCTTCCTTCTTTTTTATTTTTGTTGTAATTTTAATGAATATTTTGATATTGTTTTTCTTTTGACTGCGTGCGCATCTACACCACGTATAAAACACGTGAGTAAACAGGTAAAACTACTAGGATAAACATTTAATTGCATAGAAAATGTTTCGTTTCGATGTAATCGATGGATTAAGAAAGAAAAGGAAATAGAAAAGACATAACAATAATAATTAACAACTAATACGACAATTTTTCGTAATATCGTATTAGTTAATATAATAAAAAAAAAAAAATAAGAATTCTATCTTTGTATACTAATTTTTTCTTTTCTTTTTTTTTTTTTTTGTTTTTCTTACCCACGTCTTTCTACTTAATTTCAATTGTTGTATAACTACATTTTTTCATCTTACGACTCGAATCACAATTATCGAGAAAAATCACAGGACTTTTATCGTTCATACGATTGAATATTACAAAATAAATAAATGGAATAATAATAATAATAATAATAATAAAAAAAAAAAAAAAGGAAAACGTCGTTCTCTCCATGTAAAACGCGCACTGACCAGTAAAAAAATGTTTTTCCTTTCCGTATAAAATTTAAGCTTACATTGCGAACTTCTGTAATATGTATATATATATTATAAGATAAATAAATAAATGAACTATAATAAAATAAAAAATAAAAATAAAACAATATTATATATATATATATTAACGAAGAGGTATAGGAAATGAGAAAAAGAATAAAAACAGAAAATTTATAATTTTAGAAACCGCAACGGATAATAAAAAATATGCGGATTACGATAAGAACAGATCACAATATTCCAAAGTCTCATAAGAATACTCAGAAATAATAAAATAATAATAGTAATAATAAGAAACATGGACATTTTCATTAGGTGTCTCGAGGCCGTTGCTGGTGAGCCCCTCCTCTCCTCCAACTCACCCCCATAAAGAGATAATACTAATAATAATAATAATAATAATAATAATAATAATTACGAAATTTAAAAAAAAAGAAAAAGGAGATGAAGAAAAGGGAATTAAAAAAAAACTACTCCGAATTGTTTTATTAAAAATGTCGTTCTATGCCGCAAAATAAAACATAAAATAAAATAAAATAAAATAATTAAAAACGATAAAAAAGAAAAGGGAAAAAAGAAAAAAAAGAAAAGGAAAAAAAAAACGCGATAAGCCCCATCGATGCTGCCGTACGAATACATAATAATAGTTAAACAAACGCCAGTACGTAGTAATTAATAATAATAATAATAATAATAATAATAATAATAATATAAAACGCGAACGAAAGGGAAAGAGAGATAGAGAGAGAGAAAGAAAGAAAAATATAGAAATACATAAGTAGTTTTTAAGCCGATCTTTTTTGAATTAAATGTAATACCTAATATCCTCGAAGGAATATTTTTATTAATTATAATAGTTGCAACCAAAAGAGAAAGAGAGAGAGAGAGAAAAAAAAGGAAGAATAATGAAAGCAAGAGAAAATGATAGGAGGGAAACAAAAGATTTGTTTGAAAAAATGGCTGACTCGAAGGAGATAATATAAATAAATACACGAATAATACATAAACGGATATATATATATACATATATACATGTAGATACAGGTGTCTGTCAAAAATTCGATACCAGAATATAGAACCGTTTGTTTCCCGTCTCATCCCCCTCCCCCTTCTTCCTTCACCCTTCTCACCTAGCTATTGAAAAGAACAATTTTGAATCGCAATTTCATTTTGAATAATATCAATCGTACGTTCTTTCTTTGTTTTTTGTTTTATTCGAAAATACGCTCAACGAACATCAGCAGACACATTTTTGAACAAGACTGAGGAGGAAGAGAATAAAACTCTTGTATATAGATTATTATATACACATATACATCAAATGCACGCGCGTGCATAATAATGATTACGATGATGATGACTATGACGATGATGATGAATTTGATAAATAAATAAATTGTTTACGTAAGAACAGAATGAATATACATAATATATGTATTTATTATCGACTAAATTTGATTCGTTGATGATATGTACGTTAAATAACAATGACTATAATGATGCTTATGATTATTATTACAATAATGATCATAATTATAATGATGATGATGATGATAATGATGATAATGATTATGATAATGACGATACACACAGATCAGATTGAGAGAAAGTTAGGCGCGTGTTTAAAGAGTATGGAATAAAATCCTGTATATATATATAATACACGAATCAAGGTACTACCGCGATAAATTACTACCGCTATCACGGCCTTATATATATATATTTCTTAAACGAAATGGTGAAAGAAAATCTTTCGTAGTCCCTTTGTTATTCGGATTAACAATTTACGAATGGATGCTCATGTTTTTCTTCTCTTTCATTTAAATACGTATTTGTTTATATATTCGTGTTTTTTTAAAAAGAAGATAATATTTTTGCTTCTATTTTAGGTTCTCTCTTTTTTTTTTTTTTTTTTGTCTTTTTATATTAATTCAAATTTTTCCCTTCTCTTCTTCATCGAGAACGAATACAAATTTGAGATATACCAATTGATAGGAATGTTTGAAAAGGAAAATACTTTTTCTCTTTTCGTGAAAGAAATCAAATTTAATATATTGGCCAGAAAATTGGAGAATTAAAATTCAATAGAAAAAAAGTTGCGTTCCTCGGTGAAGTAGATGTGTTTAACAATGAATAATTAATATAATTCGATGAGTATTTAAAATAATAAATGGCATCTGTGGTAATTGATTGTTTTTCTATTGTATGTACTTATCGTTCGATATCTAATGTTCAAATGAGTCATTCATTACGTATAGATTAGATATATACATATACACACATATTATATATAAATATATTTAAAGAGTTGCGTGCCGTATTCCGAGCGAATTTAGCGAAATGGCAATGTGTTTAGGGGAAGATTATTAATAATAATAAAAAAAAATAAAAATAAAATAATAATAAAATAAAAAAAAAAAAAATAAAAAATAATAAGATTTTTCAGATGGATTTCGATTTAGCCGTGATAATTCGATAATTTCGATGGTAGTAAATCGCCATAATAAATACAAGATTAAAAATACAGCATTAAGATCTGCTTTACAGATTCGCAACAATTTACGATCCAGGTATTCATACGATAATTGCATTAAAATAAATGTCACGAATAATGTAAACTTTAAACTAATGAGATGAAATAAAAAGGACGATGATTCACGTATTCCCAGAAAATATATTTTCTTACATTTTCACAGCCTCAACGGCACAATCGTACAAAACGTTTTATTTTTCTTCTTTAATATAACGAACAGTTATCAAACTTTTTAGTATATATTTCAATTACGATATAAGTATCTCAAAAGTTTCTTATCTTTGTTTTTCCTTTCGTATTAACATGCTTCATGGAAGCTTATATATATATATTTGTTTTTATGCACGCTAAGGCATATTTAATAAGCTACATTTCGTTCATATTAAATTTTATTTCAAATCATTTCTATATATGTGTATATATATCACAAGATCCTTGATTCATTAATATTTAATATATCCCTTCCTCATAATTTCTTTTTTTCCTCATTGACTTTGAAAAATACAAATAACTTCCTCGATTAAAGTAAATTCATAAATATATGTTTAGGATTTGTACAACCCTAAAAGAACACCGTTGGTTACGATATCAGGAAGATTGGTATTTTTATTAACTTGGACATATGGATCACGATGAAAAGTTAATACAGGATGATGTCCCAACGAACTCGGATGAACGTGTCCCAAATCATTGGTTTGCTTTTGCCCTCTAAAAATAATTCATTAATATGAAAATAAAAGGATTATTGAATGTGGCTTCGACGGATAATATTTCTTATAGAAATATTCACTTTTTGTCTGATGCATTCGATGAACGACCTTCAATACCTAAAAAATTAAGCACCTGTTGTTTCGCAACTGGAAGTTTCAACATTTTCTGTATGTACACCTCTAATGCTTCACGCCTATATTCAAGCACTTTTGGCTGAGAGTTCCTTACTCTTTTCGGTGGAAATGGAGCAATATTCGTGCTATCCTTTTTCAGCTACGTTAAATAATGAAAGAAATAATTATATACGTACTTTAAAATATTAACATTACAAAACGTCCTTTTTTAAACATAAAAAGAAATAAACAAGCTTACAATATATAATTAAATCATACAGAAAATACATAGAAAATATACAGTTGTGTAAATAAAAGTAAAAAAATAATAATAATAATAATAAATTAATTATATGTAATTATTCAATGTGTATATACTTCAAATTTTTGATTCCACAATGCGAATCATAACCATGAAAAAATTAAACATACATAATATATGTATGTAGATATAAGAAAAAAAAAAAAAAAAACAAACAAACAAAGAGAAAGTAAAAAAATGATAATTAAAAAACATACCGTACGATGTAACGAGCTAAATTCGCTATACCTTCTCTCGCTGAAATATCGAGTGCCACTATCCGTCTCGAATAATTCGACACAATAAACATAATAGGACCTGCCATGCGATACCTCGACCAAACGGTATCCGTTGATAAACGCTTGATACATTGCATTGCTAATTATTTTCTAATAACCTAAAAATATGATTAAAGAACAAAATTAATTCAATTCATTTCAACATTGTTTTTATCTTAAATAATCAAGTATATATGTATATTAGTATTCATTATCTCGTAACTCTCTCTCTTTCTCTCTCTCTCTCTCTCTCTCTCTCTCTCTCTCTATAGTGAATGTATGTTTTTTTTGTAATTAGATAATAAACGTATGATTCAGAAACACACATACACTCAGAATATTTACGCGCAACATTATGTTTAGAATTATTTTTGGAACGTTTCTCGACCAATGAAAAATGCAAACTTTTAAAAGATTATAGAAATTATTCAAACCTTACCCGACAATACTAGCTTTTTATCTCTCTTTAGATTAAATTGTAACACATACGACTGACGAGCCATATCCAATCTATGTAAAGTGCTTCCTATCGCAAAGAATACTGCGTTGCAAGTATTCACGCATGCGCACTCGTCATATTTGATATGACGCGAATTTTTTTAAACTATTCTAAATTCTCCTTTTTTTTTTAATACGGAATATAAGTAATTTATTACAAAATATTTATTAACAAGATGAGTATGTGAAAGATACACGAATTACTTATTACACGCGTATAAAATTAAAATAAATATTTTATATATTATTGATAGTTATATGAGAATTGTTCATCATAATTTTTCTGATGATCTTTCTGGTGATAATTTTTAATAAATATGTCGGATGTATGCGCATGCGTTAAATTCAATAGCGCGCTTTATAAAAACTATTACGAAGTACGATGATTGAAATATTCAAATTATTTCATATTTCTTTGTTTTATAAATACGCGACGAATGGTATAAAAATTATTATTATTATACAATTTTTATTAAAAAAATGAATATAAAACAGTTCAAAAACTTTTACTATTGCGCATAAATCTCATAATAAATATTTTGTGATGGTTCTTTTTAAATTATTTATTATAATTCTTCGCGAGAGATAGAAGGCGATGATCTTTCTGGTGGAAAGCCCCAAAAATATGTTGGATAGCCTTTAACTTCTCTTTCCCTTGCTACGAAAGCTGAAAATGAAGATATACAGTTTCCAATAAAGTAATTCGCTCTTCCTAAAATAGCTAAATCTACGTGAGGAGAAACTGGATCTGGTTGTCGAAAAACTTGCACCTGTAATCAAAGTTTGTAAATAATTAAAATAAAATAAATATCGAAAGATAACACGGTCGAAAAATTGTTTGTTATACCTGCATGCGCGCTAAAGAATTATTCAACTCATCAATCATATAATTATTGTCAGAAGCAACAAATATTGATCTGACTTCATTATTATTTCGAATAATACGTTTAATATGTCGTAGTATCACATTGAAGGATGGTAAACACATTGCAGTCGTTGCTTTACCTCGTTCATTACGATATCCTAAACATTGAGGTGCAGCGAATAAATTTGGAGTCATTGACGTATATTCACAAGCACGCACCTATGCAAAAGTATAAAGAATTTAACTTAGAATATCTGATTTTGATAGTACAATGTAAAAATAATATAATACCCAATCAATTCCATTACGTAAATGAATTCCTATATATGCTCCCTTAGGTAAATTATTTTTCACAAATGATTTTGCTTTTCCTTGTATCGATTCATTCCATTCTAAACATTTATGTAACTCCTTGTTTTCAAATTGTACAGGAAAGCTTGCAGGTGCACCCGTAAATGCTATTATTGGCCATACTTTAGATGGATACTTTTGTTTCCATTGAGATGCCATATCAGTATGATACACATCGTAATGTAATGGACCATAAAATTCAGACTTTACAAAATCTATGTTATAGGTATCCCAAAATGGACCAAATGGATTACCTTCCTTAGCATTACAAGATTCACCTTTGCCACGTGCCGAGTAACAAAATGCTAAAAAAGAATATAACTTAATGATATCGCGTTTTAATCATTCTGTTTTTAAAATTGAAAACTTACATACTCTTTCCTTTAGTGGCCATATCGTTGGAGCCAAATTATCCATAAAGTCATGCATCAACATCGTTTTGTGACATTCTTGTAGTTTTGAAACGTTGAAATAAGTATCGAAAGGAACTTGTATCTAAGTAGAAGATAAGAAATATTTTGTATATATACTATTCTGATTAAATATGTATAATATATATTCAAAAACTTACAGATCTTGTTTCTCCTGTTTTATATTCAACCCATGGTGGTAATACTAGTGTACGATTCAAAGCTTTAGCAAAACCTAGTGCACCAAGAAAATGATCCGCTTGATTTCCAAATCGACCTGACATAAAAGATATAACATAATTATAGTAAATGATAACGGAATGAATTTTAAAGAGAACAATGTATTAAACAATATCAAATCTTACCCATACAAGGACAATAAAGAATATATCCATTAATATCAACGTCAAAATCTTGACAGTTTACATTGAAAATGGTTATTAAAAATACAATTAAATATAAAAATCGATGCATTATTGTTTAAATTAAGATATTTTATCTATAAGATAAGAATTTAAAAAATTGTTTATTTACTATTCAGTAGCAACAATCAACTTTTATTAAATGTATAGAGAGTTCGTGTACGATCAGCTGATTGGTTGAATGGAAATATAGAAACACAGCGCCAACTAATGGTATGTAAGAGTAACAAAGTTGGTTATTGTTAAAAAATGCGCGCATTTTAAAAATAATATTAATTTGATTGTTAATAAATGTTTTGTTTTATTATAAGTATGTTTCATTGTAGGATAATATGTTATAAGTGAAATTGTTAATTCAACATTTAAATATAATTGCTATTTTATTTAATAATTGATTAAAATGTGTATGATAGTTTATACTTTTAAAAAATTACAAGAATTAATTATCTATATCGGTTATATATTTATCTTCACATCGTATTAATTAATTTTTATTCATCGCTTTCGATATCATCGATGACTAAACAGAATAACAAAATCACATTATAGAATGCAAAACATTTATTTAAGACTTTGATTTCAAATTAGGTCAATTCTGTACATACACAACAGCTACAAGTATCCTTCTATACTGTATAATAAATTTACAGTTTTATCTCTGTTTTTTTTCCCCCCATGTACAAGAGTACCATGTACATTGAGTATGTAATACATGCATAATATATGTAGTAAACTATATAAGGATCTCTTGAGAGACGTTAAAATAACGATCCTTAGTTTTAGGGTTCTATTACAATCATTTTGTTTAAACAGAATAAACATAGTATTTCTATAAAAATATATCTTTAAGTAAAAATCAAACGCAAGTCTCTTTTCCAATTCAACCATTTTAGCTAGTTTACAAGAAGACATTATACATCTTTTTTCTTTTACTTTATCTTTTATTTTTTTATACTTTTTAAATTCTTTTTATTAATCTTTTCCATTCTTTTAGTATTTAGACAAAAAGAGAGCTATTTGATTTCTTGCGACGTACTTGCGATCTCGAACGTGTTATAAGGCATGTATTAACAAAAGCATGTAATTAATTGGCATTATAAAATTACTATTATAGAGATGATATATAATTATTATATTCTTTCCATTTCACATATTAGTAAATTTAAACAGACATGTACTGTTATACATATGAGCATGTATGAATTTCTAGCTTTATTACCGCACCTTTAACAATAATATGTTAGATGCATAATAGCTTAGGAACGAGATTTAAAATAATGACAAATAATATTCTTAAAATAATTAATGATAATTATTAGTAAATAAATATTCATGCGATTTTACGCTGAATGGAAAAAAATATATATATATATATATATTTAATAAAAAGATACTTTTATATCGATACATCATTTTGATAGAATCTCTTTACAATCGCGAAATTGTTCCATTTATATTCATACAAGCTCGTATTTAAACAGTATATTAATAATTAGCCTCATCGTCCTATTTGTTTTAAACATATGTATAAATAGGTCGATTTGAGACATTTTAAAACTTAATTTTGAAACAATATCTCATTATTAATTTCATATAACTTAAGTATCAGTCGAACCATCGTAATCTAATGCAAGTCCTAACACAAATATTTTTATATTACTACAATAATAAAATTTTATTTATTTAAAATCTTTTACTTGATAGCAGACATATATTATATTTGCAGTGAGCTATTTCTCAGCTCACAGCAGCCCAGTTACGTGATAAGAAGAATGTAGTGTAACTTTTGGGCTAGTTAGGACTCGTATTGGTGTTTTGATAGTTCTAAAGATATTCTTAAATTACTCATAAAACATGTAATTTTTTTTCTTTCTTTTTTTTGTATATCAAATAGTATCATGTCTTCTACCAAATAAATTTTGTGCATTAAGTATTTTAATAATATTATATTCCTACTTATTGAAAATAAAAATCATCATAGTAGCAATGATAATAATATAACGCATAACATTAGAGCAAAGTTTTAGTTTGTGACAAAAGATCGCATATAAATGAATGATCGCTTATCGTAATGTGATACAGAGTTTTCCATTCAAATATATAATTATTAATTCTTATGTTCATAATGTACACGTGAAGATAGTTCCTAATGCAAAAATGAATGAAATTCATTGGAATATTTAGGCATGAATTAGATTCATACTTAAATATATGACCATATATTTATGTATATATATATATATAATATACATATATAAATATAAAAGAAAAAATGATGAAGCTCGAAGTAAGAGCTATTCATTCAACATCTGCGATAAATTCAAATCTCAAATACATCATTTGAAACTTGTTATATATACACAGATAAAAATTTAGCATTATAATTATATATTACAATGAAATCATATTTATCATCTATTACTATACTTAAAAAGGACAGTATTGCGATACAGTGCTCTTCTACATTATTAATTCTGTTTACATGCTTTCATAATTCAATTGGATTAACTACATCTTTACAACTCTGTTATTAAAATTATAAAATAACAAGATTATTATTACTATTATTAATTTTTTTTCTTTTTTGTAAATTTTTCAAACCTTTTTTGCAAAATAATGCAGTATCATATTATGAAGAGCGAAAAGCAAAACTTTTTCGCGTCCAGTTACAAAATATATGAAGGCATTCATTCATCAGCATTCCTCTATGTACAAGCTAGACGTACATAAGGTTACATTGTATTAATGTATGTATAAAGCAATAAAAAGTAATCAACTTACATCATGTACTAAAGGCCATGTCATTATATAGTGTACATTTTTTAGATTCTTATAGTATTGCAAATTCATTACGATGCAAATTGTAATTACTCCTTATTAAAGTGATTACAAATTTCGTCCTAAATAACATTTACTTAAAAAAGGAAACAAACATTTTCTAAGTTGACGCAACTATAGCAGATTTAACATTATCACATGTTTATTTTGGAACTTACGGAAGTTGAATTTAATATTTTAGTTTGAACAACTGAATTATAATTCAAACATATATACATATAAATGTATGTATATATAATGCTCCAAGTGTTTAATAATTTGATTTTAAAAAAATACATTTTGTTAACGTGTGATAAGTTTTTGCATAAAGCTGAGCATCTAATTTCTATTTTTTAACTACATACATTAATAACACTGAAATTTGTATGATATTGTAACGGATAAGTAATGCTGACAAAAATATATTTTAAATTAAGCCAAAATGTGGCCTATAATCTAACAATACAGATCGGAATCTTCATATTCTTTCAATTGATACAAGTACAACTATCATTGGTCTTAAATTTTATTTTAGTACTACTATAAAACATTCAAATAAATTAAATTGGAAATTAGTTATTTTATTATTCCTGATAGGGGAAAAAAGGAAAAATAAAAGAAATAAATAAAATTGATAGCTCCTTAGCTATAAATTTATAATTCAAATTTATAAAATATAATGACATGCAAATATACTAAGTCATAACATAAATAAGTTTGGTTATATTCGCTTTAAATTAGAACATGTTTATATTTAAAACCGAACTTATTTTAAAATGTTAATTAATTATTAAACGTTATACCAATGATATTAGTACTTGTGTTTTCGTATTACTTATCATTTGAATAAATCACAAAATTTATATTTTTGTTATAAATAACAAAGAATGATTACTGTAGGAAGATAATGTGCAATGTGGATTACACTAGATACCAGTTTTACATGTAGCTTTTCGACACAAAAGGAAGTAACTCATAGCAGAAATAGAAGTTATAGAAGTTGAAGTTAGATTTTAATTTCTATTCTTATTATAGTTTAGTTGAAATATCACAAAAATGACAACAATATCTTCTCTTGCAATTATTGAACGAAGTTACATATACAGTATAAATATATAAAATTCAAAATTATTCGATTTAAAATCTAATGTAAGACAAATGTTTAAATTGTTATACGCCGCATATTTCTCATATAAAATTGTTTTCTATCATGTAAAACTATAGTATCTAGTATTATTATGTTTTTCTCCTTTCTTCTTTTTCCGAATATATTCATAGAGGTAATAGATACTTTAATAAGATTACTAACTAGAATAATAAAATATTTTGCGAGTCCATGTTACTTTTTGCATTTTAAAAAACGAACTTTTAGAGAATCGTCAGAAATAAGTAATATCACACTATCGTGAAGAGTTGGCATCAGTTAACAAAAGTTCTAATGCGCTGTACCTGTCAATTCTTAAACTTAAAATCCGTCTCAAGTGTTGATTAAGTGTACTTGCAGCAACTGGTTGACAGGGAGTTACACAAGGTGGTGTATCACCAATTAGTTCAGCAAGAGTTATTATAAAATTGGACCAATCAGAAGATAAAGTTTCATTTGTAGGATTTAACTTTTCTGCATGTTCCAAAAATGCGGCTAATACAGATACACCAAACTAAACAAAATATAATGAAAAGTTTAGTTTTTAATTTTATTACAAATGCAAAGATATTGGATCTTTTACTCTTACCTTGTTTACAACAGCAAAAACTAAACTATTATTTTTCACAGGTTGATTAGCTGTTTCAGATAATGCTCTTGTTAGTCGAAGTACTGTATTAAAATTCTGTACACTATTAAGCCACCTTCGAAACTCGGGATAAAAATTTGTCAATAAATGTGAGTCTCTACGACCAATAATTGCTAAACTTCTTAATATACAGGCCCATAAATTTTCCAATTGGCTAGTGTATTCGATTACATTTATTAGAGGTAAAAATCTCAATAGCAGTGTCTAGACAATAAAATCAATTATTATTTTTACCAATTAATTCAATTTAATATAACAAATAATGATATTATTAACTGTTGTAATATTTACCTTTCCTTTACGAATACTAAGCATACTGGCTATTTTGTCATCTTGTATTAACTGAGAAATAGATGTCCACATCATCGAAATTAATTCAGCACCTGTTTTTTTAACAGTGTTTGTTTCTGTTTCACTTTCTTGTTGCTGTTGTTCCGATAGCATAGCTAAAGGATTATTTATATCTTCAATTTTTAACAGTATTGTATACATCTGTAAATTGATAATAACAATAAAAAATAGTTAGTCTTCTGAGAAATCTTTTAATCCAAAATAAATGATAATAATTCATACCCTTTCAATTTCAAGGAACAATTGTCTCGTCTTTTTAGTGTCTTTTTGTTGAGATTGTAATGTTGAATGCGGATCACTATTGGGAACAACATCCATATCAATAATTTTACGAGGTGCTGTAACACTACTGAATTGCAGCTTCCCTAATGAATTCTCAAACTGTGCTGGGATATATACAACTTTTGATGCAACATGTTGAGGTTGATCGCGATTTCTAGAAACAAAAAAAAAACGGAAAATTAAATAGTGAACAATTAAAATCAAAATACACACTTATACAAATTGTATGTATTGGGATTGTACCTAGAATCTTTTTGAAATCCGTTATTGTTATTATGTTTTTTATCCTTCTGTTCTTGATTAGCGTTTAATTTATTTTGTCTATCACAAAATACCGTGTAATAATAATCATCAACGTATGGTTGATTCGTATTTAATTGGAGTAATTGGATATTGATTAACCATTGTTTTTCTCTGCTACTCATAAGACCAGCATATTCATCATATTCTCCAGAATTATTAATGCCATTTATTCCTTGAGGATGATTGTGATGTTGATAATGATAATATCTTTGATTATTTCTATCATGATTACGATGAAGATATTGATTATTCTTAAAAAATGGCTGATGATTCCCTTGTTCATTGGAATAAAATAATCTATTCTGGTTCCTTTGATTTACAGGATGTGGAAAAGAATGTTGTTGACCAACTTGATTATTTGGAAATGGAGGCATCATTGGATGATCTTGACGAAGGAATTGTGGAGGTCCTAAATTAGGATAAGGTGGATGCTGTAACATATTATTCATGTTTATCAAATATTTGTTCATTTTTCTAATCCTTTAAATTTATAATAAATGATAAAATGTGAATTCTACTTACATGAAAATTGCTTGTAAATGGTCCATGAATTGGTTGTCTTTGTACTCCTTGCGGTAGCATAACATGTGGTGGTAGTGGATATCGCAATACGTTACCAGGTTGATCTAGAAAAAAAAAATCAATTAAAAAACAAAGTTCATGAAGCATGAATGTATTTTAATTATATTGAAAAATATTTACTAGATAATAATCTAGGATGTTGCATGAATTGTGGTGAATGTGGTAATCTTAGATTTGGTGGCATCATAATAGGATGCGGACCAGGTAGACCCAATCCTGGTGGAAATCGAGAGGGAGGTAAGCCATTGATTTGAAGTTTGTCATTTATCGACAATGCATCAAAAATAAAAGACCCATCCGTCTTTTGTTGTAGTTGAGTTGGTTTTATAAGACCGGGTGGGGGTCTATTAGCGATAAGACCTCTTTCCAATTCTTCCACTGTACATACATTTTTTAAGGAAGTTGTCAAAGAAGGAGGTGGTCGAGGTTTGGGTAATGGTATAATACTAGGACTATCCCATACACCTGGCTTAGGTACAATCCCTTCTTTTTCATCTAATACTAAATGCGATAAACTATCTTCGATGTTAACGCTGATACCATTCTACAAAAGAAAATTTCAAAATGTATACTTTCTTCCTTATTTTTTAGTTTCAATAAATAAGTAACTGTAATAAAAACCTTCTTATCCGGAACACTTTTATGCTGTGGCCTACTAGATTCTGTAATTTCTGCAAGTTTCTCATGATCTTTTTCCCAATCTCCAATGGTAGCCTCCGAACCAAAAGTTTCATCGTTCAATGCATCATATTCCTCCTCACCAAAATCTTCTTCTTCCAAAGGACAATCAAGCCCATCTTCTAAACCATCCTAATTGAATAAAGATACAAATTTACCTCTGCATATTACCATATAAAGTAAATTCTATTGAACAATAAATCTAGGAGATATATATACACACATATATATATATATATGTATATATATATATATACATATGTACACACGCACAAATATATATATATATATAAAAATTAGGAAAGTAGGTGAGAATTAAAAATAAAATCTGAAAATAATATCTTTTAAACGTTCGATGTTAATGACCTTTTAGAGGAATGAAACGGAAGTGAGGTTAAAATATATATCTTATCGATCATTTGTGAAACGAAATCATGCGAGTTTTTTTCAAAATTTATACCGCGTAAAATAGATCACTAACAAAGAACCATGTTTCAATATAATAAGGTAAAATATTATTAAAAATAAATATTATTTATAATCATAATAATAAATATATCATATAGAAGACTGAAGAAAAAAAAAAAAGATATATTTCTACCGCGACGCGCCTGTTTATTAAAAAAGATTGAGCCCGCACTACCGGTTATGTGTCGTTTACTTATCATATGAATAATATATAATTTTAGTAAAATAATTAAAGTTAAGTGTACATACTAAAATCGTAGTGTCGAAACCGAAAAAAGAGTCTGCCATTTGATGAAATTAAATATACAAAATGACATGTTCTGATGAAACGTCAAGTACTCCAAGAAGCATCAGCTGTCATGGCGGCTAGGTTATAAACTTCGACTATGTGTTACAGATGGCATCTCTGTCGTAAAAACGCGTACCAACTTATTCTAATTAAATTTGGATAATAAAAATACTGAGCACGCGATTGGCTACACATTCGTTTCTTTGTAGTGGTATTGGAATTTATGATTTTTGTAATTGTCCATTTTAAATTATACGAGCTATGGTGCCATATAAGATATTTTTTGTCCAATCAAAAAGTATAATAAAAGAAAAACTAGATATAATTTATAAAATATTATAATCGACTACTTATTGAAATAAAAAATATTATACAATTA